GCGAGCGTGTGCGCGCGTGTGCGGGTGAGCAAGCGCGTGCGGGTGAGCAAGCGTGTGCGCGCGTGTGCGTGTGCGGGTGAGCGGGCGTGTGCGCGCGTGTGCGGGTGAGCAAGCGCGTGCGGGTGAGCAAGCGTGTGCGCGCGTGTGCGTGTGCGGGTGAGCAAGCGTGTGCGCGCGTGTGCGGGTGAGCAAGCGCGTGCGGGTGAGCAAGCGTGTGCGCGCGTGTGCGTGTGCGGGTGAGCAAGCGTGTGCGCGCGTGTGAGAGCGATCGTGTGTCTGTGCACGCGTCGTAAGAGGTTAGGTGCTTTTCTAAGGACAGTTTCACTAAGGTAACGGCAGTCATCTCGCTCAGTTTCTCACACACCTTGGAATCGTCGGAGAAATGTAGCGCAACTCGGTTCATCTAAAGTCCCGCTAAAAGTAGACTAAAATCACAATGAAATTGTATTCATTTACCGTCACACCTATTTATTGCTGCTGTTATATATATTTTCGTGCTTAATACACTGGGATTTGTATCAGACGAATCGAAACGGAACCGCTTATCGTCTGCATGAACGTAATGCTCTATGAATTCACCTGAACCATGGACCTGACACCCCACTGACCACACAAGCCGTCTCCAGCTCGCACATACCTTCAACCTATGACCTCAGCGCCCTCTATGAGCGCACAATAGCGTTTCTCTGACACATTTTACCGTATTCCGCTTCGCTGCCTAAATTCAATGTACGTGCACGCGCGAACGGTGTGCACAGAGTACATCGGTGGTTCAACCGAGTGGCATTAGGTGAACTCCCATGTGGCGACTCGGGAAGTGAAATGCGGTACATTCAACTTTGCCTCTCCATTCATGCGTGTATATAATAGTGAGGTATTTACTCGCAGCGTCTGTAGTTAGCTGTTGTGTTTGTAGTGGCTCCTACGATGCAGTGGTTGGGAGTTGTGCTACGGGTTCACGGGAACATTGCCAGAGCGTATATGCATGCGTATAGTTCCTTGTTGTTTAGTTTGATTGAAAATATTCCGTACGTTTACTATCGTGCATTCGTTTGAAATAGGAGACGTATAAAACAAGGTACCAAGAAATTCGAAAAGGTAGGTGTATATATTATGTGCATAGATGATTTATTTATTTATTAGCCAAGTGAGAGAGAATTCACCGCAATAACAAATCTTTATACTTCATATAATAACTTCAGAACATCAAAGTGTGTGGAATCGTTATATATATATATATATATATATATTTTATTATTTCTGTGTTGACAGATTGCTATGAATCAGAAGGCAGCCGCCGTGCGTGTTTTCGTGGCACTGCTATTCGGCACTGTATACGTACTGTTTACAACGTCCGCTAACGCCCCTGCTGCTCCGCCCAAAGACCACAATGGAGTGAATGGCAGTGATTATGCAGCAGCGGTGCACGAAGTGTCGTATCGCACACGCAGTGTCGTCTGCTCCAAGTACACGTTTCTCCTCGTCGTCGTGCATTCCGCCGTCCGGAACTTCAAGCTCCGTCAGTCGATCCGAGACACGTGGGCCGACGCGAGAGACACGTGGCGGCAGGAGGCGGTACGAACGGTCTTCATTCTGGGAGAGTCCGAAGATGTTGGCGATCAATCTAGAGTGGACGAGGAGAATCACATTCATAATGACGTCGTCCAAGCAAGATTCTTGGACTCGTATGCGAATCTCACTCGCAAGCATTTCGTCGCTCTCAAGTACGCGACGGAATCGTGTCAGTCTGCTGATCACATCGTGAAAGTGGATGACGATGTTTTCATTAACTTGCCTGCGATTATTAGTTATCTATCAACTTCACGGACGAAGGATAATATTATGTGTAACGTACTGAAACACGAATTTCCGAATCGGAACCCTAGACATAAGCTATTTATAAGCGAGAAGGAATATCCGGACAATGAATACCCACCATTCTGTATGGGTATGGCTATCATATATTCTCGTCATGCTGCGAATATGCTCGTAACGGAGGCAGAAAATGCAAAATTTATCGACAAAATCGACGACGTTTACTTCGGAGGCATATTGCCGCGTAAATTGAGAATTCCACTTGAAGATTTACGAGGAAAGTACTCGGAAACTGGCGCGAATACATTAGAGTGGGTAAGGAGTGGTGACGCGCGACCAGCGTGGTTTTATTTTGCGTTAGTGTGGCACCGACCCCGGGGTGGCATGAAACATGTGTGGATGAAAGTCAGGGCAAACCAAAGGGAAACGCAAGGAAGTCTTCTATCTTAGACGTGAACAATTATATGAGTTATTGTGTTTGTGTATAGTGCATGGACAGTTCAAGTCTATATCGTAGGGAAGTCCTCGTACGTGTCTTCGTACAGCGGTAGGTATAGGCCTACGCATCCAAACGATATACAACCGAAATGAAGAACATCAAAGCTTTTACATTTACGAGTTGTATCTGATTAATTGTGTATGAATACAATATTTTTATGTATGTATATTTATTTATTTTGTTATTTTTGCTGGGTTTCGATCGTTTATTTATTATTGCTTCGTTAAATTTAGCGTGTCTAATATTATGAGCGTGCGGGTAACATTTTTATAGCGTAGATAGAGCGACGTACGTGGTGCATTTAATAGCACGTTTCCTGAGACATGCTACAAGCGCACGTAAATGGTAATAGTTTTCCCTGCCGATCACACTTCCGCGATTCCCGCGGCGTTTGATGCAGCGGCAGAATTTTCCGCTGCCGATAGAGGGCGACGTTACTAGACAACAAAAATGGCGAAGATGTTGAAAGATTTCTTCGGTGGGCATAGAAAACTGCCCCCAGCTCCGCCAAAGCCAGACTATAGGGGTGCTGAAAATGGCACACGGCAAGTAAATGAAACCGGAGCTCAGTCGGTTAAGGACGAAGATCAAATTTATCTTGATCCCGTGTATAATGTCAATACACCCAGTTCGGGCGGACCGGATCATGTTTCAAAATCAACAAAGTGTTTGTCAAAATCCCCAAAAGCGGTACATTACTCTGATGTTCTCGATACATCCGTTGCACTTCTACAATTTAAAGCCGTTACAGAGGAACTTAACAGAAAAAGGCTAAGCAGTGGTACGGGACTGAAGAAAGGAGGTGATAAGCATGATAAATTGCAAAGTACGACTGCCGGAACAGGAAGCAAAATTATTGACAATGATGATACTGTTGCACTTAGCAATTCTAGTGCTCTTGGTGGTAGCGATGACAGAGTAACCACCCCTACGTGCAGCAGTAACAACTATGACGACGACACTGGGAGTAGCGACTCTCTATTGAACCTCAGGTTCTCTCCTACTTTGTTGACACCAGCACAAATCATGCAACAGACTCTTAGTCTACCTTACCATGGCAGTACAAGTAGTTGCAATATGATATCTGGGTCAGGTGATATTATAGAATGTCCGACTGAAACAAACAAGCCAGATGCCATATGGTTACCGGGATTAAAGGATTACTCGAGGAGAAAAGAAGCTGAGGAAAGGGTGAGAACATTACAATAAAGAGCTCGACGATTAATGTAAGATAACGAAACTAATGCAATGGGATCAATCATACTTTAAGACACTCTTACATACATCATCACTGATTGTCAAAATGACTGTAACCTTAACCTCTTAATTTTTATTGAACTCTTAAGCCCGGCGCACACGTGAGTTATTTTACTCAAGTAAAATGACGCACGAGTCAAATTACTCAACGAAAATCCGCCGCACACGTGAGTAAAATGACGCATGCGTCAAATTACTTAACGAAAATCCGCCGCACATGTGAGTAAAATGACTCATGCGTCATTTTACTTGAGTAAAATAACTCACGTGTGCGCCGGGCTTTAGTGTAACCCTAAGCAAAACCCTTTACACTAATCCTGATTTTTCATGTATGAATCATTGAATCAAGAGCATACAACGGTAAAATGCTGAGACCATGTTGCAGTATTAGTCGAATTAATAAACTTTCCCCATTTTATTTTGACGATTCTTTGCAGTATTATTGATCAGCTGCCCTACCTTGTTCATATAAAACAAACCGCATGTCCCTAAGATGCCCCTACGCTGAGATAATGGGCGGTGAGCGGTGCCCTAGACATTAGTCAGTACTGCGACCGACTCGCGTTCTGGCGATAGCTTCGGGAAACCTCGCGTGTTTCCGTCATTCATTGGCAATGAAATTTATTTTCCTTTTACTATCTTTTCTCGCATTTCCAGTCATTGACACAGCCATTACTCCACAAAAACATCTTGTTATTTATTGCTATGGTGATGACCCGCCCCTTACGCTGGATGTAGTAACGCTGTAGTAATAACGTATCGAGTCAGCGCTACACAGCGGCGACCGGAAGCAACACACTGGCCACACTTCGAGAGTGGGTTGCAGTACTGACTAATGTCTAGTCGGTGTTCGGCGAAAATACCAGATTTTCACCGCTCATTTCATCTCAGCGTAGGGGCATTGTAGGGACATGCGGTTTGTTTTATATGAACAAGGTAGGACAGCTGATCAATCGGAAATCAAAGAATTGTCAAAATAAAAAGGGGAAAGTTTATTAATTCGACTAATACTGCAACATGGTTTCAGCATTTTACCGCTGTACGCTCTCCTTCTTTATATGCTCTTGATTGAATGTACAGACCGGAATGGCAGAAGGTAGCTGCAGCCTTCTGTACCACTTAGACAAAATTCAATAATTAATAATAAATACATTTCAGCATTATGTACCGTCTGTACACCCGTACTGTAGTGTGATTCGTGAATAAAAAAGATCGTTTATCCGATAACATCAGGATTCTATGCATATTGATAGACTCCTGATAACATCATGGATCATCTGCATCATCAACATAATGGTGAAGCACCTGAATTGAAATTAACTGCTGGAAATCAAAACATAAATATCATTGAATTAATTTCATTTCTCCCAACCTTTGTTAACTAGAGGAATCTATTGAAATAGTCATCCCCTGTTGATTTACACCACATGGGCTAGTTCACAACTTTTGAGTCGCGATAAGATTACATAAATGCTAGTTAAAACGGACAAACCTCGTAACAAAAAGCCTATATCTACTGTGAGCATACTTGCAGTGTGCAAACATTGCGAAATGTTCTCATTGAGTCGGAGAAGTGCTACAAACATTGGGATTTTCAAAAATTACGTCGATCTTGTTATGTCACACAGCTAGCAGTAGCCCTACGCTAGCGCAAATAGTTTCAGGAACGAAAACACTATATTTGTTTCCTGATTGCATAAGTAATATAGATAATGATATTATTTAAACAAATTTCACAATTTTGTAATGAACAAACATATAATAATGAATTATAACTTTATAATGTTTTATCATAGAAAAGAACTGTTAACGATCTCTCCGCTGTGTCCCGGATGTGTAAACATCACCGTGGTGCTACTTTCGTAAGAGAAGTAATTTCGTTTAGATTTTGAGAAGAAATGTTATGAAAGTAGCAATACAAATGAGTTCTAGTGAAATTTTGCAACATAGACGAGCTCACAGTAGCCCTTATATATATGCATTTAGCTGCGAGGTTAAGCAACTTTAAAGTGTGTGCTATTTACTGTTCTGCCTCTACTTTGCAGGTTACGTTAGTATCTGACTACAGTAATCCTCAAGACGCAATAGACTTCAGTCCAGTGAAGGATGAGAGCAACAGTGACTACACTCAGCCGTACGAAATACAGAAAGTCATACTACGCAAAAAGCCAGGTATTTACATTAGATAGCAGTCCACCATAATAACGCTGACTGCATACGCAGTACATGCTTCGTAGATTATTCCAAGTAAATGTCATTGTAAACTTACAGTTGCATGCAATGAACTAACACTTACAATAAATGGCAAGTTCTTTCGCCGCGCCGTTTCACTCGAAAGTTGCATGTACGACTATATTGAATGTCGTTTATGTTTTGACGTTGGTTGACACATGCAGCCTCTCCTGTCTTCCCATGTGGTCAGTAACAAGGCCAGCCTGTGAGCCTGTAACTTGATCGCGCGCGAGTGTCGTTACATTACGGATGTAAGAAGTGTCACCTATTGACTATGTAGGAAGTGGATCATCACTGCTCGTGGACACGTGACTGTTTCTACTTCCTATACCAGTCTGTATCTCTGCATAACTAGTACGCCAATCCCTTCTGCTAATCGAGACTATTCTCGAGACACAGGAATTGCAAGATTCTTGATCGCGATGCTCTAAGCTCTGCGCTTATATATTCATTCCGTTGTGCCTGAGCAGCAGTCCTTTTTGTGTGAGCGTGTGAGTCTATATTCACGAGTCGTTGCGGCAGTTTGCTATCAGGATGAATATTTATTATCTGTGAACAAGGCTACGAATATAATTCACACGTAGACGTGGCAGCTGATATGCCTCTGTGGATAATGAATACACAGCGTAGAGATTGATAGAGTTCGCTCGAGATTTCGTCGGAATCGGTATGTTGCTGGGTCTGATATATTTGTTGAACGTATACATCTTAGTACACTGTTTTCACTACAGGCGCAACTGCTAAGTCTAGCACTTTAGATGCAGGGCAGCATTATCACCGATACGACACTCCATTTGATGCTGATCCTAAATCTGGTACGTGAAATCTGAAATCGTGGCAGCGAACATTCTTGTATCTAGCCTATCACCACAAACCACTGACAGCTACGTGACAGACACACATACCTCGTTTACAGTTTTAGACCTTTAATTGGGCCAGATTATAGACTTTTAATAATACACCACGTAATGCAAGCCACATGTTCCTCATACCTACTGACAATTCATGTATGGAACAGATTTCGCATTCCCTTTTTGTCTTGGCGGAGGGGTAGGGGGCAAAACCACATGTGCGTTGTCTTTTTGGGCAGGTGACCGTGGGCGATTTGCCGTTGACCACGTAACACTACCTTCATTTATTGGGGCGTATGAAGAGGGCAACAACTGCACCCCTTGCCCTCTCCTCTAATAGCTACGGCCTGCTGATGATTCGTCGTTGATTAATTTTTCAGTCGATTAATTTGTCATTTTTCAGGGGGGAGGGCCTCTTGCCCTACCTCCCCCACTAGCTACAACCCTGCTGTTACACATGTCTGGGTAATGGGGTCTATCTGTCGGGACACCGATCAACGTTGCATGCATGAATGATTGAGGTGACAATGTCGCGTCGTCGTCGTTGCAGGCTCCGTCCCGCCGTCGGAGGACGTTCGACCCGTCGAGGAGTACGACGAGCCGTGGGAGTGGAGCCGCAAGAAGCGCAGTGTCGTCGTCTCCGCGCACGGCAGCACCTCCAAGCTAGCCTCCGCCCCCGCCTCTGCCGCCGCCGCGTCGGACGAAGACGCGAGGACCGGCGACCCCGCCTCGAGGCGAGACGCCGACTCGGCCGTCTCGCCGGCGGCGGACGATCGGCCGGAGGACGAGTACGACGTTCCGTGGGAATGGAGGCTGAAGCAGCAGCGCGCGGCGGCGAAGCGAGCCAGCGGCAAGCCCGACGACGAGCCGTCGCCCTCGGCGACGACAGCGGACGACGGCTGTAGCCGCGGCGACCGCGACACGCGCAGCAGTCCTGCCGTCGAGGCTCCGACAGACGAGTACGACCTTCCCTGGGAGTGGAAGCTGAAGCAGCGCGCGGCGAAGGACGCCGACGGGCCGGACGTGCGAATCCCCGGCGCGTCGCAGACGAAGCCGGCGGAATCGGCGACGACCAGGGAGACCGAGTTGTCGCCGACGTGCATCCGGGAATTCGACAAGCTCCTTGACGAATACGACGTGCCGTGGGACTGGCGAGTCAAGGAGATCGTCCCGCCACCGGACGCGACGAATAGTACCCCCGCCGACGCCACCTCCACCTCTCCCACCGCGATCTTGAGCATTACGAATTCCACTACGACTATTGCCGCGACGACTGCGGGCGAGAGTCGAAGCGAGGCGAAGCGCGAGGTGAGCGCGTTGGGCGACGAGCGCCCCCTGGACGAGTACGACGTGCCGTGGGAGTGGCAGGTGAAGCAGCGCGCTCTGCTGGAGGCGAAGAACAATGCCAGGTCGCCCAGCGCGTCGTCGCCGGACAGCATGAGAGCGCGCGACATCCGCGACAGGCCCGCCTCGAAGGCGGACGCCGCCGCCGCCGCGCCCCCGAGCGCGAACGACGACCTGAGACCCGAGGACGAATACGACATTCCGTGGGAGCTGCTGCGGAAGCAGCACCGAACCACACTGCCCGGCGCCGCGGCAGCCGCCGCCCGTAGCGACGAGAACGCGGCCCCGCCGAGGCGCGAGGCCAGAGTGGTTTCGAGAGCCGAGAGCAGGACCGAGTCGCTGTGCCGCGGCGATAGCGGCGGGGACATAGAGCTGCATATCAGCGAGGAGTCGGACGCGCCGGAGGCGCCGGCGGTGACGATCCCTTCGAGCAACAGCAACTCCATGCTGGGCGAGACGCTGCGACTGCTCACCGAAATGGACATGAAGTCGTCGGCGCCGACGACGGAGGTGATGGGGAAGGACGCGGGGAGGAAGCCGAAGAAGAAGACTCCACCGAAGAAGCCGCCGAGGAAGGACCGGCCCGCCGGGGAGAGGGGGCAGCTCGGGGGAGCGGCGAGCGCGGGGTCCTCCAAGGAGAACAGTCTCGAGAGGAACAGCGTCGTCGGAGGAGGAGGAGGAGGAGGAGGGAGGAGGAGCGCAATCGGAGAGACACCGCCGGAGGAGTCGGCGGCGGAGAGAGGGGGCGCCGGCGAGGCAGCCGAGCGGGACTCGCGGTGCGTCACCGTGACAACGCCGGCCGCGGAGCCGGCGTTGTTCGACACGCGGCCGCTGGACGACTACGACGCCCCCTGGGAATGGATGGCACGGAAAAACTCCGAGAAAGGTACTGTTTAAAGTAATTAGATAATTATTGATTGAAATGTTTGTTGAATTAATAATAAATTATGAAATAATTAAGTTGTTTTTTAATTTGTAAGTAATTAATTTAGTAATTATTCTAACAGTTAGTAATTTGATAAAGCCACAATATGCGCATCTACACCCTAATTTCTCCAGTACTAGACTAGCAAATACTTTGTGACATGCATAATCACACTACCTTATGACAAATTAAACTAGTTCCTCTCATTTCACTGTGCGTTTGCTTAAAACCCACAAGAAAGAGGTGCAAAATCTGGTAATCTGGCGCCAACGCCGAATTGTTTGTCAAGCAATTTTGCTCCGGATCGGTTAGGTGACGTCACATGTTGCTACGGGTGTTGAGCAGAGAATATAGTCGTTTACATTTTAAGATAGTTGTAGTATTGTGAACTGCAGTGTATGTAACATCAATGGCTAATGGGAAAGTAATAATAGGCAGCGTAATAAACTTTGAGAATAACGTATTGATTTTAGGCTTGATATCGCGAACGATAACATGTCATTGCGCTAGCAGCGTGCGAGCGAAAAACGCACACGGGCCGTAGAAATCTTTGCTACACCCGCTGTACGGTTGCTTGGTAGAGCAACGCGAAAGTGTCAACAACATCGGAGAATTTGAACAACATTGGAGGTATTTTCAAATACCTTTTATAAGACAACGCGCAGTGAAATGAGAGGAACTAGAGTTTATTTTGTCATAAGGTAGTATGATTATGCATGACACGAAGTATTTGCTAGTCTAGTACTAGAGAAATTAGCGTGTAGATGCGCATATTGTGGCTTTAAGACTTTCTACTGAGCGAAAAAATTTGCCATGTGCTGCAACTATTGTCGTTTGCCTATTATTTTTGTACATGGATCATATATGAGTAATTTAAACTTTCTGTAAATACAATAGACGGTAGCTACAGTGGTACATACGGTGGAAATGATTTCATTATGAGAGAATAACAATGATTAAAGGAAGAGTAGCGAAAAGGCCATAATAAAAATATTGTTTGTTTGCCCTCACCCGACCGACCCGCCAAAAAGGGGCCCCTTTTTTTTGTGTGTGTACATTATATAAATCTGAATAATGTAATAATGTAAATTAAATAATGTACCAAGCAAAACAAACATTCAACATAAAAGGTATCTCCACACAAGCACACCGGAGCATGTAGACACCATGCTGAATTTGTAAAAAGACCCCTTAAAAAAAAGCCTACCTACCTACCCAAACTTTTCAGCATGGGTCGGGTGAGGGCAAACAAAGATTTTTTTAATTGTGGCCTAATTTAACTAATTTGAAATGAATTTGAGATAAAATATTTGCGGTAATCGGATAGCGATAACCTCTATCTGGTTCCATTTCCTTTCGACGACTAAACTATGTTTTTACGATCTAACTACTTTGATCGTTCCGCGGAATCGCTCTCTAGTGAGTTTTTTTCTCTTGCGTCTCTCCACAGTTCACAGCGTGCTGGGATCCGCCGCAGCACAGCAGTTTGTGGCATTGACGTCTGCGGGCGTCACAGCTAGACAGAGCGGCGGCGGCATCTCTCCCTCCGCCTCCTTTTCGCGCGTCGCCGCCCCGCACTCCCCGACGCGCGGCCCGCCCCCCGTCGCGCCGCGTTCCTCCTTCAGCTCTCCGCCGGTCAAGCACAGACCCGCGCCGGGCGTCGCGCGGAAACCGAGCGGCGGCGCGCAGCTGGCGCCCTCTGGCGTTGCCGCGGCGGCGTCAGGCGACGGAGGGAAGCAGCGTCCGCCGAGCACGCCTCCTCCGCCGCCGCCGTCGTCGTCGTTGGCGACGTCGTCGTCGAGTTGTCGATACAGTCCGAAGACGATGCGGTCGCAGCTGAGCGTGGATTCGACGTGCAGCCGCGGCGCGTTCGAACGCGTCGACGCCACCGTGCCACTGCAACGACAGCCGTGAGTGTTTGTTCGCTGTAAGGGGGGAAAAGGTGACGAGGCACCGGGTGGGGGGAGGGCAGGAAACCTCTATCGCCGTGGCGGCACTTCCTGTGGGCGTCGACGACACCTTGTACATTGTACATTATGCCTAAGTCGTACATATTCTTATACCGAATGACAGTTCTACCCAGCAGGTGACATTATTTTGCATGTTATGTTGCACTTGTAACAGTCGGTTGATGAGTTGCTGACGTTACTGTCACCAGGTGGTATCATCGAGCGTTGTCAAGGCAACAGGCGGAGGAATTGCTCAGGGTCCTGAAGGAAGGCAGCTACCTAGTCAGAACGAGCGAGAGCAACAGACACGATCACTCGCTCTCGATAAAGTACGTAAAACACCTCACGCTTAGTTCCGTGCAGGGTGCATGGAATCGTTGCATGATGTGTAGACTTGTGTGTGTGTGTGCGTGCGTGGGTGTGTGCGCGTGTATGTGCATGTGCATGCTGTTTAGATGTGCAGAAAATGCATCCGAAGATCTAAATATCACCTGTAATTTTGGCTTGTTAGAAACGCAGCATCGTTCGACCGCGCGTGGTCACCGCGCGCGGCGCTGGCATCTGCCATCTGCTAAATTGCCGCTTGTTCCCATCTGCAGGAGTACGAGTGGCTTCATGCACATGAAGATCGTCAAGGCCGGAGGCGGGCAGTTCATCCTCGGCCAGTTCAGCAAGCCGTTCGATTCCATTCCGGAGATGATCCACTTCTACACGCAGCACAAGCTGCCTATACGCGGAGCCGAGCACATGTCCCTCGCGCACCCCGTCATGAACGAGCTGCTGTAACCGCGGCAACCGCCGACGACCCCCGTCGCAAATGAGCTGCTGTAACCGCGGCAACCACTGACGACCTTGTCACGAACGAGCTGCTATAACCGCGGCAACCTATGATGCCCCCTGTCATGAACGAGCTGCTGTAACTGCGGCAACTGATGATGCCCCCCGTCATGAACAAGCTGCTGTAACCGCGGCAACCGGCGACAACCCCCGTCGCAAATGAGCTGCTGTAACCGCGGCAACGACCGACGACCCCGTCACGAACGAGCTGCTGTAACCGCGGCAACTGATGATGCTCCCCGTCATGAACGAGCTGCTGTAACCGCGGCGACTGCCGACGACCCTGTCACGAGGCAACTGATGATGCTCCCCGTCATGAACGAGCTGCTGTAACCGCGGCGACTGCCGACGACCCTGTCACGAACGAGCTGCTGTAACCGCGGCAACCGCCGACGACCCCATCACGGACGAGCTGCTGTAACCGCGGCAACCGCCGACGACCCCATCACGGACGAGCTGCAGTAACCGCGGCAACCGCCGACGACCCCGTTGTGAACGAGCTGCGGTAACCACGGCAACCACCATCGCCTGCCTGCCCCCACCCCATCGGGGGAGCATAGGGTGCATCCAAGGTACGAGCTGCTGTAACCACGGCGACCACCGTCGCCTGCCTGCCCCCACCCCATCGGGGAAGCATAGGGTGCATCCGAGGTATGAGCTGCTCATACGTTTACATCCACCATATCGTGCGTAGTTTGTGAATTTAGGGAAATGTATGGGAGCTAAGTGTCTTCAGCTTGATAAACGTGTAACCATATGGAAAATGTGCGTGCAGATATTTATTCTTTGGTCAGTCAGCAACAGAGAAAAAGAAGATATAATTAGGCCAGAGATGAGTGGTTTCTGCTCGTACTCTCGTACTTATGAATATCGGTGCCCCTTTACAGTACAAATACGCATGTTCAGGTGTTAGTCATGTCATGAATTGTGTTGCCGTGTATGCATGCTTGCGATATTCTGTGGGTCAGTCTCACACAAATTTTGAACCCCAACACTAAAATTAAATGTTCCAGTATTTGTGTGGAGGTTTGCTCGAAGAACTCGAATGTAACCAACTGTACAGTGTACACCCATATGAAATAGTTTTCTCAAATATGTTCCAGAGCTTTCCTAGAACGAATTTGCAAACAGGTGATGTTGAGGGTTATGTTTATTTTTCAGTTACTGCAGTTATTGTGATTGTAGCCAAACAAGTTTGAAAATCATTAATATTTCAAAGCAGCCATTTAAGATCTTCCAGTTATTTTATAAATAACGTTATCCGACAATGTTATGTACTCATTTTTAAGCATAACAAATAGGCCTATACGAGATGAAATATATGAAACGATAGCTTGTGATAGGTCTAGGGCGTATATTTACAAGGTGAGACGGAATACTGTTCCCGTGCCACGTAACTTCACACATGTCATTCACTCAGCTTGTGCTCACAGTATTTTCTTGATTCTTAAAAATTTGCGGGAAAAGAATGTTGAACTGTGACAAATTCCTGACGCATACTGGGGAAATCGGCCATGGAGTAAAAAAGGAGTGTCCTGATTCCCTGTATTTTCATTTGGATTCGGCTTCTATACATCCGCATTCATTCTAGTGCTTGTGATGTAGGTCTGTGTGCCCATAAGACTGGCAGCACTAACAGTCATGCACGCACGCGGACACGTACGCACACGCACGCGCGCGCACACAGAGACATTAATTCTGGCACGAATTCATGTCATTAAATTACTTGTGTATATTTATTGTGTAGAGCCAATTGGGAACACGTGGTGAGAGATTGCCCTGACTCTGAAATGTTGAAGGTAGCTGAATGATGTTGATGCTGAAACGTTGTGCGGACATTGTGCTTTCGTTGAACAAACCCTTCTTGCATTCCAAAATTGTACAAATCACCTTTCAAAGGCTGAAGAGAATCATTCTGCATTGTGTGATATATTATAGAAATTGTAGTAGAAAGTCTCCTTTTCACTGGCTGTGACATTGCAGGCAATATCATCATTCCATCTGCACTGCATCGTGTCGCGTGACATATCGACTTGCTTGCTAGGAGCATGAAATACGTATAGATATAGAGGGAGTTGGTACAACACGAAAAGTCGTTGATATCTCATGTCAAAGGTCACAGGTCAAAGCAATACTTTCAAAGATGTGGATGAATTTATCTTCATAAAAAATGTGTCTGGCGTGTCTTTCCACAAGCGGAGTGAAACACCCTCTTCCCTCTTCTACATTATAGGTTTGTTGTTAGGAGCAAAATTAGTATCAACATTATATAGTTTTATCATTATCTCTTTCTCATAAACCGTTGACGTGTTTAAATTACAGTGTCTCATACGCAGTGTATAGACGTCCGATCTAGCAGAAAAAATAGTTAATGTTAAGACTAAATGTTAAGACTAATTTTGTTTGGTCCTGACTAGTGACTAGTTTTGGTCCTGACTAGTGACCAGTTTGGTCCTGAATAGTGACTGACTAGTCGTGGGTTTCCACCCTGATTGTTCACTGTTATTAGAGTGGTCTGCAGAGCGTGCTGTCTGTCGCTAGAACAACACCTGTAATTGGGTAATCGGTAGGTAGCTGATCATGCTTTGGTGATTTGGGTCCTAATTTGCAAACCATACCTTGCTTTACCTCGATGCACCGAAAATTAACTTTATTTTTGTCAGTGTTTTGTAAACGTTGCGTGTTTGTATTGCGTAGAGCATTTATTATAGTACATGACGTATACGTAACGTTTTTATCATCGGTTCATCGATCAATCCATCATGGTATCAAGAGTCCATAATAGAAAATTGTCTATTATGGACTCTTAATTGTATGCAACTCAACAGGGGGGGAAACTGGATAAATATACTCGTTAACACGCTTGCTGTGTTGAGTGACTCGTAGCCTGTTCGCCGGTCATGTTCTCACTGGGTAATGAGTCTCTTCCTGTGTTCCTGTCTGCGAGTTGTCACGGTGCTTAATACTCAAGCAAACAGCGTGACTGTGCAATAATCTACAGTTTGAGAATCTCGTGTGCGTGTGAGCGTGTGCGTGTGAGTGGTGTTCCTGCGTGCGTGCGTGTGCGTGCGTGTGTGCGTGCGAGTAATGTTCTTGGGTGCGTGCGTGCGTGTGCGTTCGTGTGTATGTTTGTATGGGGATTGGGATTAACGTGTCCATATCATGAAACAGTATTAGTCGTGTGGCGTTGCTGTACGGATCCGTAGTGTGTGCTGGTGACGTAAATATGTCAGCAGCCCCATATGATCAAGAGCATATATGAACCCTTGAGCCTATAACAATAATTATAATCTCTCTAAGGGTTTGTACGATCTTGATATGGTAGATGTTTGCGTGTAGTTGGGACGTAATATAGGCTTCGTGTGCAAGAAACACGTGGTATTACTAAATATATATGCCAGTATATTTCGTAACTGCGCGAACTCTTACTCGTTGTAGGATATTAGAAGAAAGGAAACTAATTTTCCGGTATTTTGCTGGGAAATCTACTCGTGCCGGTAACTTGCTCCACACCACAGCATACGACTCTGATCGTGGTTCAGTTTACCTTGATCTGTCGTTGCTTTGTAATTTCGTACATATTTAAATATTTTGCACCTAGGTTTTCCAATGTTTGATGTCACTGTATGTCAACCTCGTATATCTATATATGTGTATATATATATATACAGCTAACATATGCATATAGCTCTAAGAAACACACACAAGTACGATGTCTACGGCCATACCACGCTGAAAGCACCACATATGCATTGGAGACTATAATTAAACTCGATATAGATCGTATACGAAATATAATGAATAAAATATTCGGAATATAATATTCGTTACGGAATATAATGACAGATAATTAATCTGTCATTATTCACCCCGGATATCATATAATATAGCATATATATATATATATATATATGGATAAATAGATATATACATATACATGTCTTGCCGTGCTATAAAGCATGATATGTGTGAAGTAGTCGTGGTGTTAGAACGGAAGAAAGGAGTTAAGCCGATCGCGCTTCCAAGTTGGTGTTTTTTTCGTAAGAAAATCTGATTTGCAAGACCAACTTTAATTACGTGATACGAAGTTACCTACCGCGTTCACAATCTGTTTTTTAGTAAACTAAACTCACTAGATTGGCTAAGTTCAGATTCGAGTGTAAACCTAAACTAAGATGGTGGGATCAATGTAGTTGCATGCGCGCTGTTTCTGCGATGTCTGTGAAAATGTACAGTTGCAAGTTTTCTCTTACATTGTATTATAACATAAATATTATATAGTCGTTTAGATTTTTGGACAATTGTTCCGAATTGGACGATTCCCAGTATCTCACACGACTATACAATGAAACCACTGTGTTTTAGGTATATTGACCCAATTCAGATGTATATGCGGTTCTAATTTGATTCTAAAATCTGCGATGTAATGGGCTGTATCATCCCGACAAACAACACTTACATTACGTAATGGAGTAGAGTTTAAACGCGCTTGGGTTTTGTTGCTTCGTAAATGATGTTAGCGCTAACTATTTATGCATCAACTCCGGTTGAGTGTAGTTGTAGCATGTGTGAAAGCCGTATGTTTTACATGTTGGCATAATTATATAGTGTGCATTAGTCAGTGAAATGCGCAATGATACAGCGCACGCTACTTCAATGTGATAATTAATCAGTGATGAGAAATTTTGAATATATCAAAGCGATTCTAAATTTATCTATGTACTATAATTGTTCAATATTGTCGTCATTATTATTATTATTATTATCATTATTATTATAGTTATAGTTATAGCTATATATCGTTTTAGTTGCAAAAGCTATCATGTGCTACGTGTTGGTATGTTGTCTTAAAAGTTATATTTATCTCATTTTAAATTTTCTTTGAGTAATAGTATGCCGGTAACATTTAGTGTGTAATTGTGACGTGCAATATATAAAATTAAAAGAACAGATGCGTGAATCATTTAAAAATTGATGTTTATATGTGTCATGTTGTGATAACAGTCATTTCACAGTTAATTTTGATGTATGTAAATGTGGGCCGAGTTATGTAAATGCAACGTACACATTCACAATTCCATAGAAAATTACTTGCCACTGCGATTCAGTTCAGGTCCGCACGTACGCGCGGACGCACGCACGCACACACATGCACGCACGCACACTTTGAGAGGGAGCGGCAGATGCGCATTGAACTGCCTAGCGCTTTGTAAACTATAATACATTTCGCTGAAACATTTCAGAAGGTAAAGGAGAACGCGAAATGAAAGTTTGCGGGTATTACCT